CCCTGATGGATTCACTGCTGAATTCTACAAGAAATTTAGGGAAGACCTAATGCTGCTACTTCTCAAACTCTTTAATGAAATTGAAAGGGAAGCAATATTCCCAAATTCATTCTGGAAGTAAGCATTACCCTGATACCAGAACCAGAGAAGGGTCCAAACAAAAGAGAGAACTACAAGCCAATCTCTAATGAACACAGATGCAAAAATCCTCAGTAAGATACTGGCAAACAGAATGCAGCAAATCATCAAGAAGATCATACGCCATGACCAAGTGGACTTCGCCCCAAGGATGCAGGGATGGTTCACCATATGCAAATCAATAAATGTAACACACCACAATAACAGAGCCAAGGACAAAAACCATATGATTATCTCAATAGATGCAGAAAAGCATTTGACTAAGTCCAACACCCATTTGTGATAAAAACCCTACAGAAAATTGGAAGAGATAGTCTTTATCTCAACCTGATAAAAGCCACCTATGATAAAACAACAGACAACATAATACTAAATGAACAAAAACTGTAAGCTTTCACTCTAAAATCAGGAGCAAGACAAGGTTGTCCACTGTCACCACTCTTATTCAATATAGTTCTGGAAACATTAGCCAGAGCAATTCGACAAGAAATAAAAGGAATAAGGATAGGAAACAAAGAAGATAAATTATCATTGTTTGTGGATGACATGACACTCTACATAGAAGACACCAAAAACTTCACCGAAAGACTTCTATATTTAGTAAACAAATTCAGTAGCATAGGTGAATACAAAGTCAACACTCAAAAATCAATAATATTTCTGTCTACAAATAATAAGCTCAGTGAGAGAGAAATTAGAGAAACAACAACTTAAAAATGAAATACCTAGTATTAAACAAAATGAAATACCTAGGAATCATTCTAACAAAGAAAGTAAAAGACCTTTACATTGAAAACTACAGTACTCTGGGCCTGGGATTTAGCTCAGTGGCACTGTGCCTGTCTTGCAAGCACAAGGTCCTGAGTTCAATCCCCAGTACAGAAAGAAAGAAAAAACTACAGTACTCTGACAAAGGAGATTGAAGATATCAGAAAATGGAAAGATATTCCTTGTTCTTGGGTAAGAAAAACCAGTATAGTGAAAATGGCTGTACTTCTGAAACTGTTATACAGATTTAATGTAATCCTGATCAATAGGACATCTCACAGAATTAGAGAAAGCAATTCTAAAATTCATTTGCAACCTTAATAGACCTAGAATAATAAAAGCAATTCTGGGCAACAAAGGGAAGACAGGAGGCATCACAATCCCTGACTTGAAATTATACTACAAAGCTTCTGTGATTAAAAAACAAAAACAAAAAACAGATCTGAGGATCAATGGAACAGATTAGAAGATTCAGAACCAACTCCAAACATATTTTTGACAAAGGAGCCCAAAACCTGCAATGAAGAAAGATAGCCTCTTTAATACATGATACTGGAAAAACTGGCTTTCACACACTGAAAATTAAAACTAGACCCATATCTTTCACCATTCACTAAACTAAAATTAAAATGGATCAAAGATCTAAATAGTAAAACAGAAACACTAAATCTACTGGAAGATAGAATAGGTACAACTCTTTAAGACATTTGTGGGGGTCGGGGATTTAACTCAGTGGTACCATTGTCTGCCTTGCAAGCATGAAGTCCTGAGTTCAAAAAAAGTCCCGGTACCAAAAAAAACAAAAACAAAAAACCAGATATTTGTGTAGGCAAAGATTTTATGAGCAAAATCCTAATCATGCAGGAAATATCACAATGACTCAACAACTGGGAACTTGTCTTACTAAAAAGCTTTTGTGGGCTGGGGATGTAGCTCAGTGGTGCCACACCTGCCTGGCAAGCACAAGGTCCTGAGTTCAATCCCTGGTACCAAACAACAGCACCAAAAATTCAACTAAAATGACACTTCTCAGAAGAAGTAGAAATGGCCAATAAATACACGAAAAATTGTTCAGTGTTGCTGACCATTAAAGAAATGCAATTGAAACAACACCAAGCTTGCATTGTATCCCAGAAAGAATGGCCCTCATCAAGAAATCAAATAATAATAAATACTAGTGAGGCTGCATGGAAAAAGGAACCCTTCACTGTTGGTAGTGGTACCATATACTAGTATAACCACTGTGGAAATCAATAAGGAGTGCCTAAAAAAATTAAACTAGAAATTCCATTTGATCCAGGTATTCCCTTCTAGGTACCTTTCTGAAAGAATTCAAGTCATGGGCTGGGGATTTGGCTCAGTGGTTCTGCCACCTGCCTTACAAGTGCAAGGGCCTGAGTTCAATCCCTGTACCAAAAAAAAAAAAAAAAAAAAAAAAAAAAAGAATTCAAGTCATTATATTACAATGATACATGCACACCCATGTATATAACAGCACAGTTCATAATAGCTAAATCTTAGAAGCAGCCTCTCTGTCCATCATCAAATGGATAAAAGAAATGTACTTATACACAATGGAGTATTGTTCTGCCATGAAGGATAAACTTGAATCATTTGTAGGAAAATGGATGCACCTTGAGACCATAATGTGAAATAAACCAGACACACAAGCTTAAATATAGCATGGTTTCTTTTATATGAGAAACCCAAAATATAAATAAAGGGCAAAATAAAAGACAGATTATAGGAAGGGAAAAAAAGAATTTCTTAGAGGAGTTCTTGGCTTATTAATCAAAACATTGTGATTTTATTTCTGCACTTTGTGATGTTTGCAATATTTGACAGCTTTTAAAAAGCACATAAGCTTTACAAATCGGGGTTCTCTCTCTATTCAAGATAATATCACTTTGTATTTTTGTCAATAAACCTTTGGATATGGGGGAAAAAAAAGAACTGCAGTTTCAGGACAGAGTGACCCCGGTTACAATGTCCTTTTTCCTCCAGGAAATACCAAACAGGATATCATAAGCCAGTAAATAGGGCCTATTCTTGTCCCCTGTAAAGTGAGCCTAGATTTTCCCTGCACAGACTTCTACTTTCGAGAATGTAAAACAGTGCAACATCTCACTAAACTGGAAACTCACGGAAATGGCCTGCATGCTAGTGGGCACCAAATAGGTACCCCATCGGGCAACAGGAAAGCGCGGCCTAAATCACTAGTCTTGAGGACACCCCCAAAACACATAAATTCCCACCCTCAGACTATAACGTGCCTGTCTGAGGGCCTGCACTCTGCTCCTAGTGTGGACTTCTTTAACTGCCTGCCTCTCACTGACGCATTCTGAGGCACTTTGACATAAGTCAGCAAACCTGCACTCTCCTGTGGGTGGTTTGGGTTGGAGCCCCAACTCTTGTTTGGAGGATTTCCTCAGACTCCATCCAGTGACAGGGGTCACAATCCCACAAGTTTTGCCTCTCAGCCCCCGTGTGTGCTCTGGCTGGGCCTGGTGTCTGCAGTCCCTGCTGGCCTGGCAGAGGAAATAGCGCCATTGTTCCTGCTGCAGGCACATGTGGCCCTGCTGGTCAACCCTTGCAAACTGCCCCTCTGCTGGGGCCTCCTGAGATGGCCCTCACGTGGGTGCTATCAGTTTCCTGCTGGGACCCACACCCGCACACCTCCAGGATGCAGGGCAGAGGGGTCACACCAGCCAGGTTCCAGAGATGGAGCAACGGGACCCAGGAGGAGCCAGGGTGCCTGAGTCCGGATGAGGACCTGGAACTGGAGCACCACAGCGGGTCTTGCAGAAGTGCGATTCCTGGAGCCACAGGCCGTGGCTGGAGCCTGCTTGTCCATGTGTGCGTTCCTTCCTGGCTCTCGCTTCTCCAAAGGGGACTGCGGACTGTGAGAGGTGATGGCGCTGGGGTCTCTGGGTCAGCCAGTGCAGAGACCCCTAATCTGATGAGAGCACAGAACTCCCCGGACACCCTTCACTCTGTTCTCCACTGCCACTCCCTGGACGGCCACTGTTTCACCAGAGACGATGAGATGACCGTGTGACCACAGGATTCCCCATTCTTGGGGAAGATAAGTCATGGGGTGTCTGACCTCTGCTGGCTCTCTCAGGCTCTGAGCTTCCACAGCACCTGCGCTGGTCACAGGTTGAAGCCATCCGAAGGCTTTTAAAATGCTGGTGTCTGCCCTGGCCCCAAGTGTGACCATCTGGGTGTTGGTGTTTGTTTCTGATGATTCTACTGCCCAGCCAGGTCGGGAAGCCTGGTTGGAGACCTCGAGCACCTTCCATGTACCTTTCGTCCGGGACCACAGCTTCAGGTGACAGACAACAGAGGACATCAACTCCAAGCTGCCCAGGCCAGCTGCACCCAGAGCTCATCTTGCAGTGTCCTGCCAAGCCCTCTGCCCCTTGGGCATGCTCAGCGCAGGACAGTTGTCCCTCAATTCTGAACTGTGGCCCAGGGGCCTGCAAGACTCTGCCAGCCAGGCTCGGGACAACACCAGGGACCTAGGGCCTCTGACACCACACGGCCTGGGGTCAGGGACAGTATTCCCCAGGGGGAAATCGAGGCCCTAGCTCTCTGTAGGAGGGGGTGTGTGTGAGCCATGACATCCCTGCCCCGCCGCAGGGGGACATTAGGACAGCGACAGTTGTTGAGTATGGTTGGCATAGTCGGGATGATGAGCACAAGCTGGGGCAGACACCACGTGGGGGTCCATACTGCCCACTTACCAGGGCAGAGTCTCCTAGAGCTTCAGGCTCCTTGCCCCTAGCTAGGGCCAATGCCATGCAGCCTCTCCATGGCACAGTACGAGATCAGCAGGACGAGAGCTCCAAGCAGGGTGCCAGGCCCAGGAAGGGTCTGGGGTGCCTATCCATGTCATCAGCCACACTGCCAAAATGCAGGCACTGGCCCAGGACCTCTGCCCATCTGCCCCCAGTCCTGCCTTCCCTCTGGGCATTGGTCCAGGCTGGAGGTGTATCTGCCACTGCTGTATGTGTGGCTTAGTGGAGCACTAGGGATCCAAGTAGTCTGGTCAGCTCCCAGAGTATGCCTTGGTCATGTGATTTCTGGAAAGTGAAACTAGACTGTTTTTGAAGCATTTCCCGGTATCTGTCTGAACATAGCACACAGGGAAGATTTTTCTGGGCCCCCTGTGAGGGCCTCTCAGCACAGAGTCCCCGCAGCGGCTGGAGGGAGGCTCCAGGATGCCTTCAGTAGCTGATTTGGGCAGGTAAGCTCCCGCCTGTTGCTCTCAGGTGGGCACACCCCTCTTCAGAGCATGATCAAGGGGCGCCCCATTCCCTCTTTGCACCCAGGCTAGGAGATGGGAATCCGGTGCTCTTTAGCCCAGGAAATATCTTTGCTGTTCCTAGACCTGCAGGGTCTCTGCATGCAGTGAGGCAGGTTGTCGATTACACAAAGACACCAGCCAGAAGGGCACACAGGTTACAATCCCGCTGTCTCTTGAGTGTGTATCCGGGCTGGGTTCTGCACCCACTTGAAAAAAAAGAGACCCTTCTCCTAAGTTTCACAAAGGACCAGCACAGGGAGTTTTGTCCCAGCTTCCCACACATGGATGGCCACTGCCACCAAGAGGGCAGCAAGGCCCACACAGCAAGTGCCCAGCCAGCTACTGGTAACTGCAGCTCTACCAGGGGGAGAGGGTGACCGACCATGCTGGTTGGCCTGGGACCAGGGCTTTCCCAGGGCGTGGCACTCCCAGCACATGAATGTGCCTGGAGCTGGCCGGTGCCTCATTTCTCCAGTGCCACAGCGAGGCCGAGGTGAGTTGTCCTGCAGGGTCTTCATGAGTGGGAGAGCCCTGAGGGTCTTGTTAGTGCAGAGTCCAAGCAGAAGGGCTGGGGCAGCGACCATCGTGCACTTCCTGCTACCCCTGAGGGCCCTGCTGCCACCACCTCTGGGCAGCAGGGGGCCAGAGCCAGCCTCAGGGTCACCAGCCCCGGGCCTGTAGACAGAGCTCACAGCAGTGCTGCCCAGTGGCCAGTCCCCTGCTTGCTGGCCTGCAGTGGTGGAGTAGGTCCTGTAGCGTTCTTCCAGAGCCAGAGACACAACACCTCCCTGGCTCCTCCTCCCACTCTCCTTGCCCCCCCCCCGTGCTCATCCCTGGGTCTTGCCCTGGCTGTCCTATATAGGACCTAAGAAGGGGTAGGGAGGTGGCCGTTCACTGCAGATGGACATAAACAGTAAGCATCCAGAGTTATACAGAGGAGAGAGTTCCAGGCCAAAAGCCAAGATTGAGTCCGCTCCCTGCCCGGGGGGCCCTGTGGTCTCTGTGCCCTGGGTCACAGCCCTGGCCACCTCCCCACCCAGTTGCAGAGGCCGGAGCTTTAGCCGGGACCCCTTCTGTCCACTGTCCCCCTCCACAGGCCACCGAACCCAACATCTCCCCTGTGGTCTGTCACTCTGTTTTCCATGGCCTCCTCCTGCTGTGCCCCACGCCCTGCATTGCCCCTCCATCCTGCTCTCTAACACTCCTGGTTCATCTCAGCTGCAGACCTCTGGGCTCTAACACCCTCGGGGTCTGTGGCCTGAAGATAGAGCCTAGTCTTCTCCATACCCACCCCAACCCTAGACAGCCTTTGTCCCTGGATTCACCCCAGCACACCTGCTGCGTCTGACCAAAGTGGGGTCACCCTTCAGGGTGGTGCTAGGATGAGCACATTGGAGCAGCTCAGTCCTGGAGGCCGCCCATTCCTGGATCTCATCCATCCTTCTTCCTTCTGCCACAGGGTCCGGCTTGCGGGCAAGGCCAGGGCTGTCCCATGGCTCCTCTGGCTGTGGCTACTGGTGCCGGGTACTCAAGGTGAGTAGTGCCTCTGGGAAATGCCCCAAGCAAAAGCTGAGAGGCCGCTGTGCTCCACAGGCGGGATAACACCCTACTTGTAGGTCACAGATGTGTCCTGCTTGGCGTCTGCCTGGGTCCTGGGACTGGCTGGGTCCTATTTCCCCTCCACGACTGAAGTACAAACAGTCCCTGACTTGAAGCTTCTTCACTTTACAATGTGCATACAAATTTAGTAGAAACCGCACGTGGCCTTTGAATTTCAGTCTTCCCAGGCTGGTAGTCTGTAGCCTACAGGTGCACGGTGCTAGAAGAGCAGCGAATCGCAGCTCTGGTCACTGCGGCCACACTGGGAACCCACACACACACCTGACACTGCAGCGCAAGCTCCCTGAGCTTGGGTGGATTACATGCATCTCCCATGTCTGAGGCTTTCAATTCACGGTGGCTTTCTTGGGCCGTACCCCATCTGAAGGTGAGGGGCACCTGTGCTCTGACTGTGTCCAGGACCAGGACCCTGGAGCCATGGACCCTCACAAGTGGGGCACGGAGGGGCCTCCTTCCCTCTGTTCTTTTGGGCGGGCTGCTGGGGCTGCTTTTCTATAGAGCAAAGGGCTGGGACCTCACAGACAAGGAATGAGGACTCAGTCTCTGTGGGGTTCCACAGGTCTTTCCTCTTAGGAGGCGGCCCTTCATGGACAGAAAGGGGGTTTTGAAGAGGTGAACTTTGAACCGCAGCCGGTCTCCTGGCACTGGGACATTGCTGCCACCTGCTGCTCACCTTGGCTTTCCCACAGGTGCACAAGATGGGGACATGCGGCTGGTCAATGGGACCATAGCCAACGAGGGCCGAGTGGAGATCTTCTATGGAGGCCAGTGGGGGACAGTGTGTGACAACCTCTGGAACCTGGCTGATGCCACTGTTGTCTGCCGGGCTCTAGGGTTTGAGAATGCCACAGAGGCGCTGGGCGGAGCAGCCTTTGGGTCAGGTAGGGCTGCTACTCTTTCCCCAAAGCTGGGGTCACTGTGAAGTCCCCCAAGACCAGGGTCGGGCTTCACAGATGTGCAGCGTATGGCCCCACTTCCTGTGCCTTGGCACCTGTTGGGATGGCCCATTTGAGCTTGGCCTGAGGGCATTGGGCTCGGTGGTGGGGTGGCCTAGTGGACTATGGGGGACTAATTTGGTGTCTCTGAAGCAGCCGTTAGACCTTGTAAGAAAGAAGCTAAGCATCTGGTGCAGCAGTATGGAGATGAATCTGAACTGATGCCCAAGTGTTGTCCAGGATCACAAGGAACGGGAAGCCACAGCTGGACTAAGAGTGGCAGGGTAGCCAGCGTCCCCATGGCCAGGCAGGGATGGCCATTCCTCCAGTGCCCGTAGAGGAGCAGCTCTGTTGGCCTCTTCCCCGCTGAGGCCCAGTCTCTGTCCTCCCCGTGCCCACAGGGACTGGCCCTATCATGCTGGATGAGGTGCAGTGCACGGGGACAGAGTCCTCGCTGGCCAGCTGCAGGTCCCTGGGCTGGCTGAAGAGCAACTGCAGGCACGACAGGGACGCAGGCGTGGTCTGCACCAACGGTGAGCAGGCGGGCGGCTCCTCCCTTGTCCCATCCGTGCAAACAGAGGTTGGGTGATGCCCTCACCTGCTCCACACAGGGTGGGGTGGGGAGGAGGGCCACAGAGCACCACCCACCACCCCTGGGAGGAATCCAGAGCTCTTGCAGAACCCTCGTCCACCCTGCTGCCACCGGACCTGCCAAAAGCAAGGGGCTGCGTGCTGGGTGGGGCCCCTGTCCTGAGAAAGCCCAAGAACACTTCCCACTGACGCATGCAGGCCTGGGCCCTCCTGCACAGCCCCTGTGGGGTGCTCAGATGCTTCCAGATGACAAACTGTGCGAAGACCCCTGGCCTGCCTGACCCCAACCCCGTCCTGTGCACCCAGCAGCCAAGGCTGAGCCCCATGGGAGTTCTCCAGTCATTTTGCCTCCCTCACCTCCTCCTGGGCTGGCACACAGACCTTGGGGCACTGCAGCCCACCTCCCGCAGCCCCCAGCTGGAGCCCCTGAAGCCTGGGTATGGGGTGGAATTTCCCAAGACTGGACAGGTGGGGTGCTGGCCAGGGAGGGGGGTTCAGACTTCAGAGGGGGCACAAGGGCCTGGCTGGGTTAGCCGTAGGGGAGCTGGTGTGGGCCAGAGAGGTGCTGGTGACATGAGTTGAGAGGGTCCTGGGGGTCAGTGTGAGTAGGAATAGGGGCCAGCGCACCTGGCTGAAACGTGAAGAGCAGTTCAGCACTACCTGGGCAGAGACCAGGCCTGTAGGGTTGCGTTCCCATTAGGGACTTCGGGGAAAGAGGATACCCTGGGGCCTCCTATAATAACTCCCAGGTCCTGACCCCAGCAGGGTGCTGGGGCTCCCCAGGCTCTAACGTGGGGTGCCATGGGCTCCTAACTCCTGGGCCTCCTCAGACCTTCTGCAATTGAGGGAAGGATTTAGAAGGATGACCTTTGCAATGATTGATCAATTGAGCTTGAGGCCACCAAATCCCCACCTGGGGCGCTGCCTGTGTGGGCAGGGGCAGGGCAGAGGGCCAAATGTGGGCTTGGAGAGGGCAGAGGGGCCACTCTCGCCTCCTTCCAGGGCTCAGAGCAGGTCAGACCCGTCCCTTCCTGAGCCTTTCAGAGCAGGTCAGCAGGCGCTGGCACTGCCGTTCCCAAGGAGGAGGCGAGTCCTGGGGGGCAAAGCGGGGCTTGGGGTCCACAAGCTAGCGGCGGCCGCACCCCAGCCCTCACGCACGCTCCCACTGCCCCTTGCAGAGACCAGACCTGAGCACACCCTCGACCTCTCCGGGGAGCTCTCCGCCGCCCTCGGCCTGATCTTCGACAGCCAGCAGGGCTGCGACCTGTCCATCCAGGTGGTGGGGCAGGGCCAGGAGGCGCTGGGCCTCTGCGCCCACACGGTGATCCTGACCGCCAACCCCGAGGCACAGGCCCTGTGGGAGGAGCCAGGCAGCAGCGTGGTCATGCGTGTGGACAGCGAGTGCATGTTTGTCATCAGGGACTTTCTGAGGTGAGTCGTGCTAGTCCCTGAGCTGCCCCTCTGTCCTCCCCCCTCCCCTGGCACAGCAGCGCTGTTAGGAACACACAAACACACTCACGTCATACGTGTGCTCACACACTCAGCTTGTGTACACACATCCACTCACACCCACACTCACCTGCACACAAATGTTTAAATTTCCGATGAGCCAATATAAGAAATATTGAGAGCCGAATGTGATGTCACTCACCTGGGAGGTGCCCTGTACCCTGGGAGGCTGAGGTGAGGATCCCAAGTTTGAGTCCAGCAACTTCTTAAGAGAGACCCCATCTCAAAGTAAAAATTAAAAAGGGCTGGGGATATAGCTCAGTGCAGAGGCCCTGGGTTCGATCCCCAGTACCAAACAAACAGACAAATAAAACTCTTCTGGACTCTCACTTTGGAGCACCTGGGGATCATGAGGCAGCAGGAGGCTGAGCTGGTTTGTGTGGTGTCTGGGGAGGCTCCGGAGGCACAGCAAGAAGGGAACGCTGTGTGTGTGTGTGTGTGTGTGTGTGTGTGCACTAAAGGCAGGAGGACCCTTTGTCTCCAGCCCTCCTCCCACAGAGGCCACAAGACTGGCAGCTTCCTGGCAGTAAGGGCCTGGCAACAGGGCTAGGACTCTGGCCACAGGCCACAGAGCACACCAAATCCTTTGGAAGGCACAGACACTGATGTGACAGTTGGAGGATTATTTTTATCTCTCTCTCTCTCTCTCTCTCTCTCTCTGTGTCACACACACACACACACACACACACACACACACATGGACATACACCGACCTGTCTACCTCAGGTACCTTAAGGATGCAATATGAGTCTTCCTAGTGCCCAAAATAACGATCACAGTCGTGCTCTCCCGTCTGCCCTCCCTGTCCTTGCTCCTGTGGAAAATGGAGAATTGTGACTGTCCGTGCGTATGGCCCATGTCACCAGGGGGGGCTCTGCCATGTCTCTGAGAGGAAAGCGAGGCCCAAAGGCTCCCCTGGTGGCTGGAGGAGCAGGGTTACAATCTCACCACCAAGAGGCCTCCTGGGGACTTGTATTTTAAAAGTAGCAATTTAAAGAAAAGACCTGAATTTATTAAAAATGATTCTCTCTCTCTTGTGACCCAAAGCATTATATAACTGAAAATGACATTTAAGAGAGAACAGTATTGGCAATTAAAAACAGATTTCATTGGTTTCTTTCCAGCCTAGGATAAAAGCTCTGTAAGGCGGTCTATGTCCCTCCTGGTGGGTACAGTTTCTGAAACACACTGGAGATGGGGCAGGGCCCGTTCTGCCTGCCTGGTTCCCACTGGAGCTGTGGCCCTGGGTCCGAGCTCAGCCCCACCCCTGCCCTGGCTCTGATGTGGTCCTTCCACCTGTCACTGGGTCTCTGTCTCCCTGGTGCACTCCCTCACAGTGAGCAGAGATGCTGCAGGGAGCCCCCAGGGCCTTCCTCAGACACCCCGGGCACTGCCCTCCCTGCGCCCCCCTGCCAGTTGTCTGGGCTTCAGAGGCCCTCAGGCCCACGGGCTTAGTGCCTTTTTCCTCCCTCTCAGTGTGTTTTCTTCTCTAAGGAAGATGGGCAGGGCTGGGAGACTCGTTCAGTGTCCCCATGGGGACACTGATATCACCTGCTCAAGGCTGGGGCCCTGCTCCTCCCTGGTACAGTGTAGCTGCCTGTGGTCCAGGAGGACGGCTCTGGCTGGGATGAGCATTAAAAACTGGTGACAAACACTTCTGAGGCACCCCTGCCTCTTGTCACCACCATCTTCGGACGGTCAGCAGCAGGGAGGTTGGTACCTGAAACCCACAGTCCAGCACCCCTTCCTAGGTGCTGCCCAACTTCAGGGTAGGTCTGGTGGATGCCGGGGTGGTCACAGCTTAGGAGACAGTCACCCTTCTCTGTCTCCAAGCCCACTGTAACACCGACTGCAGGGCTGCTGAGATCTGTGTCAGGGACACCTGTGTGCAAGGGGGAGGGTGGGCGAGGGGTGCCTCTGGGCCTGGCCCTCGCAGTGAGCTGGGGTTGTAGGGACATCGGGCATGAAGGATTGGGCTGTCCCCATCCCCTGGCACAGAACAGCTGCGGGGCAGAGAAGAACCCAGCGGGGTATGACCAGGTCTGGCCAAGGTGTGGCTGCGGGACGGCAGGGCCAGTGCCCAGGGCCCAGCTGACAGAGCTGGGGAGACATGCAGCAGTAGGGACCCCGTCACTGGTGAAGGAGGGAGTGGCAGTGGGTGTTATCCCTGGCCCAAAATCCTCAGATTGCTTTTAGCCAACATGAGATTCAGGATTCAGAATGTGGGTTCCCTAAGAGACAAACTGTGAGAGGTGGCAGCCAAGGGGCATCACAGTGGCAGCTGGGCACAGCTGCTGTCTGTCCTGTGGGCAGACACTAGCTTCCCTCTCCCCGCCCAGGTACCTCTACTCCCGGAGGATCGAGGTCTCCCTGGTGTCTGTCAAGTGCTTGCACAAGCTGGCCTCTGCCTATGGGGCCATGCAGCTGCAGGACTACTGCGGACAGCTCTTCTCCACCCTGCTCCCCCAGGACCCCTCCTTCCACACGGCCCTGGACCTCTACGCCTATGCACAGGACACGGGTGACACTCTGCTCGAGGAGCGGTGTGTGCAGTTCCTGGCCTGGAACTTCGGGGCCTTGACACAGGCCGAGGCCTGGCTGAGCGTCCCCATAGCCCTGCTCCAGGAGCTCCTCCTCCGGAGCGAGGTGGCCGTGCCCAGTGAGCTGGCCCTGCTGCAGTCGGTGGACACCTGGAGCAAGGAGCAGGGCGCCTCCCAGGCAGAGGCCGAGGCCCTGCTGGGACAGGTGCGCTTCCCCATGATGTTGCCCGAGGAGCTGTTCCAGCTGCAGTTCAACCTGTCCCTGTACCGCGACCACAAGACCCTGCTCCAGAGAAAGATCCTGCAGGCCCTGGAGTTCCACACAGTGCCCCTGTGGCTGCTGGCCCAGTACCAAGGTCTGAACCTCACCGAGGATGCCTACAAGCCCCGGATTTACACCTCGGCCACCTGGAGCGCCTTGGTGACAGCCAGTTCTGGGAACCAGGACTGGAAGTATCGGATCCGGGGTTACCCGTACTATTACAGGAACAAATTCTCTTCTAGCTACATGAACAGCCCTTACCAGTCCTTCCAGACCCCAGAGCACCCCAGCTTCCTCTTCAGGAAGATGCTGGTCTCCTGGACTCTTGCCTACCTGCCCACCATACAGAGCTGCTGGAACCTTGGACTGTCCTGCTCCTCTGACGAGCTCCCAGCCCTAGGCCTCACCAGGTCTGGTTCCTCCAATCCCAGCATCGGCTATAAAAACACAGCCCTGGTGCTCTGCGGCGGCGGCGTAGTGGTGGACATCGTAGGCTTCCAGGGCTCAAAGGCCTCCATCCCCAGGGCCCTGGGCACCAACAGCTCTAGGAGCACTTCCGCCTTCCCCTGTGCTTCAGGCTCCTCCAGCAGCTTCCGCGTGGCCATCCGCCCCTTCTACCTGACCAACACGACCAGCCTGGGCTAGACGGCACCACCCAGATGCTAGGCCATGGTGCTGGGGAAGCAGGGCGAGGGCCAGGCGCCACACCAAGGCTCCCTTCCTTCGCTTCTTCCTCTCAGCAGCCACCTCCAACAACCAGCCACCAGATGTCTCCCTGCTTCCACTGGTCTCTACGACCTTGAAAAAAATTATTGGAAGGCCTCCACTAGCACTCACCACAGGTCCTGAGATTTTCTGTACTCCCGCAGGTGCTGAGGTCTCAGAACTCCCACAGCCTCCCGTGCCTGGCTTCCAGCTGAGGAGGCAACAAGGTCACTGTGGGATTCCCAGGTCCCCTCGCAGTCGCTCTGTCCACTGCTGTCACTGCTCTGAAGCCATTAAAAGCACATTGTGCTTCCCTTTCTGTTCAGTCGTGCAGGGAGGGTTCCTGGGTTTGTACCATGCTGGATGTCAGGTGTGCTGGGCTCTGGGAAATGGGAAGAGGCAGAACCTTGTCCTCGTGCAGCTGTGGCCAGTCAGGGAGACGGGCAGTAGCAAGAGCACCTCCCAGCCTGGTGCCACCGCAAAGGGGTAGTGTCTGATGGGGACCGCAGGGTGGGAGGCGGCAGGCACAGGGCACGGGCCCACCCCCAACTGGTGAGACCGCTGAAGAAAGTGACTGTGAAGCCAGGTATGGTGGCACACGCCTGTAATCCCAGCATTTAAGAGCCTGTGGCAGGAAGATCCCAAATTCAAGGCCCAACTGGGCAATGTGGCAAGACCCTGAGTTCGATTTCCGGTACCAAAAGGTGGGGGCTGGGGATATTGCTGAGTGCTAGAGAGACCTGGGTTCGATCCTCAGTATCCCCCACATGCACAACTGTAGACTAGGACTCAAGAGACTGAGCAGAGCCAGTCTAATGGAGGCTAATGGAGGCTGAGCCTTTCCTAAGGACCAGGAACACACGCCTGTCATGGCTGTGGCCTGGTGACCACGGTGTGGGTACAGACAAGAGCCATGTGGCCTGCAGCAGGACAGGTGTGCCCTCATGAAGGTGCCAGGGAGAGGGACAGACACAGGGAAAGAGAGCGAGAGAGATGGACAGAAGAGGCAGGAAACCCGACTAGGTGAGTCCCACCCTCACGCCCAGCGCAGCGCCCCCTGCTGGAGTCTCCACCTGCGGGGTTTAGGGTTAATCTGGCCAGTGCTCTTGGGTATCCCTCAGCAGGACCGCACCTGCCCAGCAGGCGCGAGGCCCTGGGTTGCATCCCCAGGGAGGGGAAAAAAGGCCGCCACGAAGCCCGTCCCAAAGGCGTGGCCCTCGAGAAAGCTGGACGAGGGCCCCAGGCTGCGCATGGGCATCTGCCGCAGGGGCTCTGGGCGGCCTAGGAGGCGTCCTGACCACGAAGGCTCCAGTCACCTCTGCTCGCCAGATTCGAGTTGTTCGGTGATGGGGATCACCAGACTCTTCCAAACTGCCCCTGGGTTTCGGTCCTGAACGCTGCGTGGTGAGGCGGGTGCCTCTCCCGCTGCAGCTGGAAGTCCTGGAGTCCGACCCGGAAGAAACCCGGTGCCCTCTCTCTCCGTGTGTCCCCCGGGCCCGGAGGAGGCAGCTCAGGTCTGTCCCGAGCAGGACTGTGGAGTCACTGCCCACCGCACACACAGCCGGGCCCTAGGGTTCCTCACCTCCCTTTCTCTGCTGCATCCCATGGCTGGCCAGTGCGCCTGGTTTTCTGTCAAGCAATTGAGAAGCTAATGAGCACCATTCCCAGCTGCTCACGCTGGTGCACAGAGCCAGAATCTCTGGTGCATGCACCTGTACCCGATATTTTTAGTTGTAGCTTCATATAATAAAAAACCCAAAATAGCAGAGGCTTATATGACATGTTTCTTTATTTTCTCTTGAATAAAAGAGAGAAGGCCGTCTCCCTGGAAGCTGATGTCTTCTCTTTTCACACCACCACCTTAGCACGTGACTGACAGCCTCAGGGTTACCTTGTGGTTCACAGTGGCTGCTGGGATCCCAGCCATCGCTTCTGCCTTTTGGGCAGCCGGGTAGGGTTAGCAAAAGAGGAAAAGGCACTTTCCCCAACTATCCATCCCCTGCAACTGAGCCCCTCATTGAGTTTTGTACCTAAGTCACCTCCCCAGCTTCCTCCTGTTCCTGCCCTATGCTGGACCAAACTGTGTCTAGTTTTCAGCTTCCTCGGCCTCAGCTGAATGTGGTAAGAGATCCATGATATGGCCACAGCAAGTCCCTGCATTTCAGTGCGTGACTTGGGCTAAGTATGGAGGGCTGTGAGTGTGTCCCCGCCCTCCTTTAGCCTCTCAGTCTCCCTGGAAGCCACCACCTCGTCCTCCGGGGTTTAAGCACCTTCAGGTCCACACAGCTGCGTGTGCAGCTCCTTGGTCCACATCTCACCCCACCAAGGGTACATGGTTCCCAGGGGCTGCAGTGACAGCTGAGCCACCATCTGCCACCCTCAGGTGCGTGGAATTTTTAGAACAGTTTTGTGGGTGTGTAACACGTGTGTGCACACGCACACACAGATACACAGGTGCAAAATGTGAAGGTCAATTAACGTGACTAACTTGGTTTTTGTTTGCTTCTGTAACCTCACTTACCCACCCCACCCCGCCCCAATTTCACATTACTAGGAAAACCACCCCCACTTTTTTGACCAAATGTATAAAACCGAAACTTTTCTGTTGTTCATCACTCTTCCTTTGGACAGGAGTCCATCGAGCCGGTGTTTGCCTAACCTGAACAAAAATCCTCCTGATTCCCATTGGTCTGTCCTGTCTTAGAATTGTGCAACCCCACCACTGTTCCGATCTCTTCGGGTGCTGCCTTTGCTGCCCTTGAACTGCACACAAGGGGTCATTCCACACACACAGCTTAGCACCCGCCCGTTCTGTCACACCTGTACCTGTGAGTGGCATGTGCCAATCGCTGCAGTCAAAGTTGAATTCCAGCCTACAGTGGACCATAACTGTCACTCTGTTTTGTACTTGGGGCTTGTGTTCAGTTGTTTGGCATTTACATTTTTTTCTCCCCCCGCCTCCCAAAATCAGGGCTCGAACTCCGGACCTTGAGTTCACAAGGCAGGGATGGCACCACTGAGCTAAATTGCCGGCCCTACTCTCGCTCTCTCTTCTTAATTTCTGTTGAGTACTGAGGATTGAATCCAGTGCCTTCCTACTGAACTACATTCCCACATCCTCAGTGCTTTTCTATTTTGATTTTTGAGAAAGGTCTTGCTAAATTGCCCTCGATGGGCTTGGGACCCTCCTGCTGCTTCAGTTTCCCAAGTACTGGGATTACAGACACATACCGCCATGCCTTACTGTGCTGGTTATTTTGAAGAAAGCATCTCTAAACATTTTAAATATATATATACTCCATGGTAGAAGCTTCTGCATGGATGAAAGTTTCCCAGTGTTGTGGGGCCCTGAGATCTGCTGGGGTGACCCAGACAGACTGCCTAAGGGCTTCTTTTTTGTATTAAAATATATGTAAATTTTTTTCCATCTGTATCATGCTTTGGTATAGATAGCATCTAATGTGCCATTCATTAAGTATACTCACATAATTACGCAGCCACTACCACTGTCCATCTCTGGAACTTTCCCCACGCTGAAACTCTGCCCCCATTCAACACTAACTGCCCTCTCCGCCCAGCCTGTGGAGTCTTCAACTCACCCAATGCTGTAGCAGCAGCCGGAAATCTTTCCTTTTTAAAGCTAAATTTCACTGTTTGCAAATGCCATATTTCATTTATCCGTTCATCTGCCGATGGACACCATCATGTGATAGATTTGTAAATATTTGCTCTTCTTCTGTGGGTGCCTTTTTTACACTGTTGACAGTGTCCTTTGAGGCACAGATTGTTTAATTTAATAAATCCTATTTGCCTATTTCTCCTCCTACTGGCTGTGCCTTGGCATTGTGTCCTAGATGTCATCAAAAAGTCCAAAGTCAGAAGTCTTCCCCCTGGGTTTTCTTCTAAGGGTTTTAGAGTTTATATTTTTGATCCATTCTGAGTTAACTTTTATACATGGCCTCAGTAGGGATGAACATTCTTACAAGTATCTTTGGAGGGATGTGTGGACTCGCTTATCCAGGACCTGTGCCTAAGAGTGAAATTGAGGGGCCCATGTTTAATTATCATAGAAACTGCCGGACATTTCCAATGCATGCTGTCTCTTACCAACACATCGTACTGTCAATGTGTTTTAACTTTGGCTGCTCTGAGGTCTGTGGAGAGATGGAATTTTCTCTTCCTTTGGGCCACCACTTCTTGGCGGGCCAATTACCTGAAATCTATTTCCACTACCAGTTTTTTTTTTTAACCAGCTGGCGTTCTAGCTACAAACAAAAGAAACTAACTGTAGTCAGCTTATGCAGTCAAGAGACTTATGGATGAAAGTGGGTAATGGAGAATCACCAGTCCTCTGACTGCCTAGAGAGGGGGTTGGCGAGGGATAAGGAAAGAAGGACATAGAGACATGCATAATTTCAAGCATATGGGGGGCCGGAAGTCAGTGCCTCAGAGTGGGCAGAGACAAAGACACTCCAAGCAAAAAACGAGACAAGACGCTAGGAACTACACATTATTTAAGCAGGTATACACAATAACTGGAGGGAGCATCAGGTAACTTAGCGGGCAACAGTGATCCTTTGTCCCTGCGGATCTTCTACTGATGTGGATCTTAGGTGGCTGAGGATCTTATACCAATGGAAATGGTAAGGACAGCATTCTTATGGTAGGAGGTGGGATGAGATAGCAGACAAAAAAGAAGTTGTCCTTTCCCCAGGTAAAACCTTTTTCTGTTTTTGGGTTTTTTTGTTTGTTTGTTTTATTTTATTTTGGTTTTTTGAGGCAGGGTCTCACTATGTAGTTGAGACTGACCTGGAACTCACTATGTAGCCCAGGCTGGTCTCGAACTCATAGCGACCCTCCTGCCTCAGCCTCCTGAGTGCTGGGATTACAGGCGTGTGCCACCATGCCTGGCTCCCTTTTTCTGTTTTTATCACTTGGTTCTCGAAGAACCAGGATGTCTTCAGCTACCCTTGAGCATCACATTGAGGCCTCCGCTTGTGACTGGAGGCAAAATGGAGTTAAGTTTCCGCATGCCACAGCTGGCTCATGGGCTAGGGCACACTGGGCTTTAGACAGCTATAGTCATACTTTAATTATGAAATGATTTGTCTCCAAAAATGTATGTAGAATGTCTCTTGAAAGCTTGGAAGCCAGAGAAGAAAATTCAGAGTTGATCAGGGATTCGGTACAGTTGGTGTTGTGTTAACTTTTGCTAAGTAACAAACCACTCCAAAATGTAATAGCCGAAAACCCCACCCTTCATCTGCACCGGACTCCACAAAAGGTGGCCTGGCTGAGTATGGCTGGGGTGGCTCACCGTGGCCCCACAGATTCCTGGTGGCTCATCCTGCCAGGGCCCCCTGCCCTCTTTCCAACCTTTCTCTTCTTGGTGAACATGAACCTGGACTTGGTCCCTCAGGGGCATGTTCCAAGGCTTAGAAACCACATTTAAGGACAGAGACCCAGTAGCCCCAAAGATGGGAAGTGAGTGCACCTCCTGGCCTTAGCCACAGCAGAGAATGTACAGCCACTTGGGACAGGACCCAGCCGGGTAAACACCTCTGGGAGCCTCTTGGGCATAGGTACCTGCACTGGTCCTAGCAAAACAGGTTCAGAGTCACCATGGAGCCACTGCAGCAACTTG